CTCACTTGTACTAACCTGTTCTCCTTCTTTATGCTGTTTGCCTTATCATACTAAACATGCTAATATGCATTGTCACTTAATTACTAGCCAAAGTTTACTTTTTTAAAAAGACCAAGCTCTACAAAAAAGTCCAATTAAAAAGTTCTGTGGTTCTGTAGTTAGTACACTGTGCAGGTACAGTAAAATCCCTGCTATCTGAGATTTTACTAACTGGCATTTCTAGCAACTAGAATCTCCAGCGAGCTGGCCGGACATGATGGGGGGAAAGCTTGCACGCAGCAACCACCGCCACCACGTTGTGCTGCCACCTCTCTGCATGTGGCTGCCACCACCCTCCCACCCTCGCTCTACGTCCCGGTGAAAACCCCATGCCCTCAGGTAACCGGCATTTTTTACATTACCGGCACCCCCAATTCTCCACTCGTGCCAGATACCAGGGTTTTTACTATATTTCCCAAGCAAAACATGGCATTTTCCAAAACATCGTATCAGCTCTACGTTTCCATGTTCGCAGGAGTTTTATTCTTGTTTCTCAAGAACTCCCCATCCCAGTTCTGTATTCTCTCAGGCTTGATACTTTCTATGTTTTTTGTTTTCCACGTGTATTTCTGTCATGTCACATGGCTTAACCACAGTTTTGCTTTTATCCCCTACTTGCATTTCTAGGCCCAGCTTTGTAAATTCTTTAAGTTTCATTGCCTTGAAATCCACCACCGAATGTGAGAGAGAGGTTGCGAGGGGGCAGGAACATGAAGCTGGGAGGTGGAGAGTTAATGGGATAGGGCGGGTAATGAAATGGGAGGTAGAAAGGAAATGGAGGTGGGGGAAGGATGGTGAAATGCAAGAAGTCAGCCACTGAAGGGTAAAATAAAAACAAGTAAGAAAAAAAGAATTAAAAAATAAAGAAAGAGGAAGTAAATTAAAGAAGGTCTCACATTTTAATAAATTCGGATTTGGGATTGGGGTGTGAGGGGTGTTGGTCATGGCAGCTGGGAGTGGCGAGGCACTTTTGGGGGAGCTACCAGGAATAAAGCTTCAGTCCATGGGAACCAGCTCCAGCCCCCTTCCTTCCCCCAACCCAGATCCCATTCCTAGACCTATCTGTGCCCCGTGATCTGGCTAGCAGGCATGTACTCAGCAGGCTGTTTGCACCCCTAAGGGTGGGAAGATCATACCCTCAGAGGCAGGAGGGGGAGTTGGCTTGGTGTCAAATCACCCCCTGGGGCAGCAGAGTTCAGGGGTTGTAAAATTTTCCACACAGAACAGGGGGTCAGGAGGGGACACTGCATCCTGGGATGCTGGAGGACTGCAACTTGGGTGGCTCATTTGTGGGGAGTGTTCACACATCAAGCTGGGTAACACAGATCAGAGAGAAACCTGCCTTGGAGTGGCGTAACTTTAAGCCACCTAAAGTGTGCTTAAAATTAGTTCCAGATGTCAATGTGTGGACAGTCGAGGGGTTAAGAACCCCAGGAGCCACCAAAAGTAATGTCTAACAAGGCCCTAAATCTCCTTCCAAGTCTATCATTGATATTATGATGAAAGTCAAACCACAAAGTTCAAACAGGAGCAGTAAATTCCATTTATTTTCCAGCTATGTTAATGAAGGCCAAGCCCTGGAAGTATAAAATAAACAGACCACATGGATTTTATAAGAAGCCAGGCCTGGAAACAATCTATAACAAAGAGGTTGGGGTTTTTTTTTCATCCCTTTTGTGTCTCAATGAATGCTTTTCCCATGTCTTAAAACCACACAAAGGCTCAGTGACAAAATTATATTTCAAAACAGAAGACAGGGACACTCTGTCCAGGCACAATGCCCAATATCATGTCAAGGCAAATAGTGTAGCATAAAAGTTTGAAGAAAACATTTCATAGCAGAGCTGGCTTGGATCTGGTCACCAACTTTTCTATCATTGTTGCTGAGTATGCTCCGATACATCTCTCAAGTTAAAAAAAGCATCTGGCTCAAAGAATAACCTGGCGAGAGCATGTAGCCAGCAACCTTCTTTCGGACACTCATTCACCTATTATCGCTGGCATCAAATGAAGCAATACTAAAGAATTTAAAGGTTGGCTTTTGTTTGTTTGCTTTGCTTTTTACACCGCAGATGGGAACGGAAGGGACTTTCCGTGCAGGAAATCTTCACCGAGATGGGTGTGAAGGATAGTGGTTTACGGTAGAAAATTGGCAAGACTTGGGCAAGAATACACTAAATCTTCCTAGAAAATAAATGAAGTAATGCGTCAAGTGAGTATAAGGAAGAGCAGATCTAGTGCTAGTAATGCAAAGGGAGTAAATGGGAACATAGAAGTCATTGTTCCAGCGGATCATCCAGGGGTTCAATGGATGAACCAGACTGTTCCAGCAGTTCATCCAGTCCTGGTTCATCCAGTCCTGTATCCCGCCCTGAGAGTGGTCAGAACTGGATGTTTCAGAATAACATGCCAGAAATCCAGTAGCAGACAATGAAGGAGTAGCCTTCATAAGGAAGGAGCACTGTCCAAGCCCCACCATCCATCACTGGTTGTCTATGAAACATGAACATTTAGATCCCTTGTATATTTCCTAAAATCTTATTTAATGCAACTGTGGATGTTCTCATTACCCATATAAATGTCTAACCCCATTATAAGGTAATTGGTATAAATTAGAACTGCAAAATTGCTCTGCTCCTGTATAATAAAATCTCCTAGGAGTTCTGTATGGCAGGTCATCAGATAGAACTGTCCACTCACTTCCACTGATAGCAGACAGGATTATTGGTTCCTGGGGAGTTACTTCTGATTAATGCCAGCATGAGATGAGAAGCAGGCCCTCAGTCTCCTTGTATGTATTCATAGCTCTGAGCATGCTGGCATAGCTCAGCAAGAAAAAACCGAGTGAGGCTGACGGGATATGTGCAGCGGCTAATGCTGCAGTAGATGTCTGGCCACAAGAGCCTGAGCCCCTTCAAGTGTCAGCTAAGAGAAATTCTATTGAAATCACACCCAAGCCAAAACTGGAATAAGTGCAAAGGGAATTACGTCCCTAAGTCCTGGACACGGCTCTCATTTGTAGTCTCAGGGGCAACTCCTCAGCACGTGGTAACTGGCCTTGGCTTTTAAGAAGCTAAGGGGAACCATTCTGACCGAGCACATCCATCTGTTGGCCTTTCGAGCTCACTTTAGAGGGAGGGAATTGTTTCTGATCTGAGGTCCTAGCCATTCGACTTGCTTGAATGGAGCTAGACTTTACACCAGTTGGATCCAGGCCCATTAAAGGAAAAAAAAAAAACAGAGGTGAAAGTCTGGCTCCTAACGTACAGTGCAACAAAACTCCCCGTAAGAGAATTCAGCCTAGAAGGAATCAGTGCTGAACATCATCTTGCAAAATGAAAATCCTCAGAAGTGCCAGGTCTGGCTCTCGTCCGCTTTGTGCAGGCATTCCTGCCTGCACCACAAAATAGGTGTGACATCCCCATTTGATTTGGTAGCATTTGACACCCAGAGATTGTGAAGAATCAGGCCCCTTGCTTCAGAGGTGGAGAGAGTGAGTTACAAAAACAGCTGATGCTATCCAATGATATCCCCAGCCAAAGTCATCAGTGAGCCCTGCTGGGTTCTGGCTCCTGCTAACATCATGCTTTTGTGGTATCTAACTGTTGGAAGACAAACTTTAGCCAGAGCTGTGTTTGAGGCAACAGCCCCGCTTAATGCAGAGCTTCTGAATGAATGGCCTCCAGGCCCTTTCTTTCCCATTTTATTTCTGTCCACCAACTCAGCAGTGGCAATAAAGAGAACAGATTCTTGCCACTCGCTCCGTTTCTACAATCTAGTACGCACCAACTGTTTGACCACAGTGCCTTGGTGCTGGGCATGTGGTGGCAGTTAGTTAATTATGACTACTCCTTTGCAGCAGATGTCTTAGAGGCATCTGATTGTGGTTTACTACAGTGCGAGGCTTTTCCACCTTCTGGGTTTGCCTGTCTCAGTTTTGCAGAGAAAGGTAAAGTAACGCTAGTTGATGCATCGGTCTCAATCCCCTCATTTACTAAGTTGTCTCCAAACCTTGTTTTTCTCAGCTGGCACAGAGGACATGCAGTAAGGAAGGTGTGCGTTTCTCCTTTCCCTATAAAACAGTCTGAGCTATGGCATAGGGATGGGTTGCCTGTCTGCAAAGAATTTACAAAGTACAGTTCATAGGTCAACCATTTTTCAGAAGTAGTTTTACTCCTTATCGCTTATGTGAAAGGCTTACACAGGTCTAGGTCTTGTTCTTTCTCAGAGACCCACAACTATAAATTGCTCTTCTATATCATGGGGCTTATCATAGGCAGGTATTTCTTCTTTCCCCAAGATGGGAAATCACTCACTTTGAAAGTAGTTGCATAATGGCAGTTGTGTTCTTCATGATTACTTACACACCTATTGTACGTTGAAACACAATGAGAGCTGAGAGTATTCGGTGCCCTCAAAGGTAGCTACTAAATGTGATGGAATATTTCCCATCCTTGATTTTTCCCATCCCCTGATTTACCATAATGCAACTCCACTACCTTGCCTTAAAAGTGCCAGATCAGAAAAGCCACTGATTGTTGGAAGATGAATGGTTCCATTTTTCCTCTTTCTATGTATGTTGACATGGCTGGTGGCAAAAAAAGCATGTGAAATTCACACAAACCATTGGAATCCTTACCTTGGAGACTGGCAAGGACCTACGAAGTTAGACGGTATTTCCTAAAAATCACACACACCATACACTTGACATGCTTGTTGTGTTGATCCTTTGCGCCGTGCCTAGAAAAAACCTTGATGTTAGCTACAGGAAAATTCCACAGCATTCAAGTCACTTCACCTAAGAATGGAGCTCTGTGCAGGAAACTTGTATTGGGAAGGGTTGAGTTTTGTTCAAGATATATAAAGGTGCAAAACCTTTTACAAAACTTCAGGGAGCTGTGCCCACATATGTAGTAACAGTTTACATGGAATAAAAATTGAAGACCATGGTGACAAAAATAATGATATAATATTAAAATAGATGATATACTGCCATTATTCTGATACAGAATTTTGTCACAGCAATCTTAATACATATACATGACAAGAAGTCAGGCAGAGCATTACAATATACTTTAGGGGTTCATTTGAAATATAAACTGCATTTCAATACATGGTTTCAAATAAGCAGCTCACTTTGTGCCAGAAAAAATTTACAAGAACTCATTTCTCTTTTTAAATATTAAAGCAACATAGAATCTTTCAACACTTTTTATGCTTAAATGCTTTGGTTTAATGTGCCACTTTTAAAACATGTAAAGACTACAGATATTGGTTAAACTTTTAACGTACTGATGCTACTAACCTACAAGTACTGTTATAATTATAAAGGTACCCAAAAGAAACCTAAATACCATTCTTTTGCTATTTGTTTTATGCCTAAATTTATTTTCCAGTATTACCTTCCATTGTTGAAATCAATTTTACTGTAGTATAAAAAGATTGGCCAAGATTTTTCAAGTGACAAGGTCCTTTTCAAAATCTTGCCTGCTATAATACAGTACCTCAGTGTTTGTTTTTAATGTTTACGAGGTGCAAAAGTATGCTAGAGATTTTTCTCTGGCAAATAGCTTGTTCATCACAATAACAAGAGAAATAAATAGTACATCAAATGGCCACTAAGAACGGTTCCTGCTAAAAGAAGACGTCTTCATTTCTGAACTCTGGTAAACATTTGAATCTGCTCGGAGATATCCGCACGCAGGCCAAGTTAGGCAGACACGGACAGGTGTGATGCATCCTCCTCCCGAAAAATGGGATCTGGAAGCAAACATTGAAAATGTCAGAAGCAGAGGGGAAAAAGCAGGCAGCAGTGGCATGCAGTGTTATGTGAAACTGTGGCAGTGATACAGGGTCACCTTCTTCTCCAATCGTCTAAATACAAATTGAAAAAAATGCATCAGCTTTCATCATCAGGCTTCTATTTTTCTTTCTTTACTGTAAATGGCATCAGCACAGAGTGGTGATGGTTTTGTGCCTCTGTACCATGCTGCCTTCCTAATGCATCTGCAAGGCTTGCATAACTACAAACATGAGGATCACACACAGAGAAGACAACCGTGCCTCCTGTGCAATGCAGATAGCAGCAACTTGTGGCTTCCATGATGCCCTATGGGCCTTAAAGATCCTGTGATTCTGAATTGGGCTGGGGGAATTCAACACTGGATGAATAACTACCTTTGCACAGGCATGCACTCACGCACTTTATTTCCAGCCAGACTGTTTTCTTGTTGGTGTATAATGCAGCCAAAAAAGCAATGTTAAGGGAATGCTATGCAGCCTTACTTTGGTTCTGCTAGGCCAGTAGCTTTTCAACTGGTTGTCCACAGACCCCCGGGGGTCTGCAGGCTATGTGTAAGGGGTCCCCGAAAGATGACTATGATCAATCAAAAGTACAGGAACACCCACACATAATTCAGATGGGTCTGTACCCCCACTTCAAATTTCCAAAGGGGTCCACACTTCCATCCAACATTTTTTAGGGGTCCACAAATGAAAACTGTGCTAGGCTACTTTATTGACACAGCTTTTGCTTATGCAGTCATACTATTTCTGCACAGAGCCCCTGTCTCCTGCTCCTAGGATGGGGCTCTTACTTACTGAGCAGCTCTTCAGCATTTTCCTTTCACCTCCCTATTTAATACATGCCCAAAGTGTGATTTACTGCACGTTATCCAGCCTCTTTGATGACAAAATGTTAAATTTGCTCATGAACTCTTCCTCGGTGCTTGTCACGGTAGTATCTGAGCAAAACACAACACCTTTGCAAGGTGAGCTCCCCCCTTTAACAGATGGAGGACGCAGAGATTAAGGTCAAAAGCATTCACTAATTTGGGGCGCGTCGTTTGAGATGCACAGGCAGGTTTGAGATCGCTGGCAGGAAACACAGTTCCATCATTTTGCCCTTTAAAAAGAAATCAATGTTTTCACACTGAAGAAGTAGCTAAATAAACTTTGGGAATAGGAGTAAACCACAACCAGAATCAAATATTTCTACATTGAAGCGAGGGGAACCTCAGCAGACCTTTCCCTTGCGTCGCTTCAGAGAGCAGCCGCACCAGCTCTGGGCAGGTCCTCCTGCATCTCTGCTCCTGCCCCCTCCAGTGCTGGTGCTGGGCTGAGAGCACGGCAGGGTGGAAAGAAGGGTAGTCAAAGAAATCTGTGCTTGAACGTGCTGGGATTTTTCAAGCTGCTGCAAACTAGAACAGCACTGAGGCTGCTGTAACTTTTGTCTAATGCCTAGTGTATCGGGAACCAAAGAGCAGAAAGGCGACAGAAAGCAAACTACATCCTTTGCTCAAGTACCTACAAGGACTCGACCCTAAATCTGGAACATATAAGGCCACTGTTGCACATATTCCTCCTCCCAACAGTTGACTACCCTATGTTTAATAGTGTGGTATGCAGCACCTACAGAAATATCTGAATATTCACCACCAGAACGCCATGCTTGTCAGCTTGCGTATCCCTGTCCTCCTAATCATTTAATTAGGATTTAATCATGTATGCTAGCTACATGTCATCTCTTGAAACACAAACAAATAGGTGTTTTAAATAACACTGTCTGATGGTTAGAGAGGAGACTAGGATGCAGAAACCAGCAGCCACATCCAGAAGGGTCCTGCATCCGTGCTGGGAGAGGGGAGCTCCTGTGTGACTTTGGGTGAACCTGTGCCTCAGTTTCCCATCTGGAAAGTGGGAATAAATAGTGAGATCCTCTCCCACAGGGCTAGTGGGAGGATAAACACACTGATGACTATGAGAAGGTCACATTGATCCACATCAGTGCCATGGACAGAAGCTCAGGGGCCACATTTAACCCCCGTTTTCAGCAATAGCCCAAATGCCTCTGTTTCAGTTCAGCTGCTAACTCTCGGAGTCCACCATACACACTCACCACGTGTGATTTAACATAGGTGATAGTCTCCGCCCTAGTGAGCACAAGACTAATCTTCCATGGAGACTAAATTGCCTTTCAATTTAGCGTAGCCTTTGAAGAGAGAGTTTAAATTCATTGGCACAGCAGTGTGGGGAAAGCATGAATTGATGGTGTCTGCTTTGTACCTGACCTGTAGATAAATGAAAGGTTTCAGCATTCAGCAGTACCGGGCTCTCAACCCCCATGCACAAAATATTTAAAAGGAAAGAAAAATAGAGCAAACCTTCCACTTTATTCCTGAAAATATTTAATTTCACAAAGTACAGGAAGGCAGTGCTCTACCTCACAAGGACAAGGGCAGAGTGAGTTTAAAATTAGCCATGTGGAAGTTGTAAACTTCAATGACCCCGATCATAAATGTCTTTGTTAATTGTGACGCCATGTGCAGCCAGCTGAAGAGTATGGCGGACAGTATAAATTACTGCACTGCAACAAGGAGCTCCTAGGACAACCAGGAGCTACTTTTCATTTACATGGAGGCTGTAACTGAAACAGGTTCTTAAAGAAGATATATGTCACCTTAGATAGCACGCATAAAAAAAATGCCTAACATCTCAGTAGAAGATTTCAGGGTATATTTTTAGTCAGCGTGAAGCAGTCAGGAAAGGAACTGCAGACACACAGCTGACAAGTGGTGCCTGCAAACAAATGGAAGTGCAACTAACTTGTTTTGTACTTACAAATCCATAAATTACAGTCCTTCATGCCCGACTGCTCTTAGGTCACACATTTTCCTGTGTGCAGCTTGAAAAACCACCATGTTTTCAAACCCTCGTCACAAACCAATTGGTAAAAATCCCTTTCAAAACAGACATAGGGCTGTGCAATCATTCTTGGTCAACTTCTGCTGTGCCAACCTGATAAAACGAATCCTTCCTAACAAAGTTGAGCTCAGTATATATAGTTAAAGCCGAACACTTGGAAGTGGACGGTGCTTGGAAAAGGTACAGATCACATTATGGAATTTGCAAGTAAGCTTAACCACCATGGCAAGTTGTTTTAATGCGTCTTGGACTGGAAGAACCTGGCAGAGCTAGAGATTTAGCCTCATGTTCCTGAGCAGAAGTTCAAGAAAGCTGCCCTTCATGAGAGATGTCAAGGCTGGCTTCCACTTCTCGGGTCTAGCAGTACGTTTTTAATGTCTTTTGGATCTTTAAATCTTTAGAACATAGGCATGGATGTGAAACGTCAGGGAAAGCGCTCCAATGAATAGGCCAGGTGTCTTCGTGTATGTTGACGTTGCCACTTGTTTAATTATTTCCAACTTATACGAGTCTTCTCACTCATAAAGCGATATCAAAGATGACTTACATGAGTACGGGTTTGGGAAGTTTGATGCTGGAACTGTAAAGTGTTGCTTAACTCAAACGCAAAGAAAAATCATAGGGTCCTTTTGACCTTGTGTTTTGTACAGAGATATTCTGACAGTAAAATATTTCTATACATTGAGCCTTTAATGCTATTTGTGTAACAAAATAAAGCGCTCAGGATTGCAAGGTACATTCCATACCCCTGTAAGTATAGATTTCTACGCAATTTGACTTGAAATATATCCCAATTCCTTTCTGCCCTGTCAGTTTTGGTACCGGGAGAAATTGCCGTTATTACACATACTCACTTTATGACTCAGGGGATGACACTCCTCTCCCAAGCTGCCCATCGGTGTGCACATTCGCAAACTCCGAATCCAGAGGCTCACGGCGCAGCACATGCCTCCCCCGCACTGGAGATCCCTGTCGCAAGCCTGAAGCCAACACATCCATGAATCAATGCAACTACGCAAACAAAAGCACTGGCCAAAGAGTCAATGCCACTGCTTTCTCAAATGCCTAAGAGCTGGAGCGCAATACAGGAAAGTTTTGCAACCTGGGAAAGTTTGTGGGCTCTAAGGACCCTCTTAATGTTGATACCAACGTGGTAGGCAGGCTCTTGAGAGGTCAGCACCTCTGGCTCCTATTCAGCTGAACAGACATTGCAAAGTCAAGCCCTATCGAAACATGCAGTGATCAAACGGGGAGTTGGACTGGGCTGACGGATCTAAATTAGCCACCCGATCCATTCATAGCTGACGTTATAATTGGCAGTAGTCTGTTGCCCAGCTCAGGAAAGCATCCCTCTGTGCTGTCCTGAACAATGATGGGTGTAAAACATGCACCGATGTGCTTTCCTGAATCGAGGCCTAAGTGAAGCTGAGAAGGTATAAAATGAATCAAGTGTGTCAAAGAAATCAGACCCCCTGCCTAGAAGAGGAGCTAATGCTGTTAAACTAATAAATGGATTTAAAGATTTTTATACCTCTTTTCTTCTGGATACTTATTCTACTATTTCATGGTTGAGTGCCTGCCCAAATATAAGACTGTATTACACTTTTATTACAGAAGTCCAAATGGAACAAGATAAAATGCAAGTGTAATCAAGGATTTTATGATTGTTAGCTATAGCTACGTCTCAGTTAAAAAGGGTTTTAATATTGAAGAGAATGGCGCTGAATAAAACAGTTCCACATCCAGAGAGGCTAATACAAGTGGGAGGAGGAGGGGATGTGCATTGTTAATCTCAGACACTGGCTTCAGACATATTTGTGGCTCATCTAAACACAGGATGAACTACGTGTTACTTAGCATATTTTGAAAAAAAAAAAAAGTTAAGAACAACTGGCACACTGTGGTTTACAAACTAATTACCACACAGGTTTGCTCCTGTTGAAGTGTTCTCTACACCAAAAAGAGTGGAAGACTGTAATTATAGCCATTCAAGGCAGAACCATATTCTACTTACTCAGGAGAGGAGTCCCACTGAAATCAGTGGGCCTGCTCACATAGTAAAGGCAAGCCAAATCGGATTATTATTTTTGGTTTATACGTCTGACAGTGAGAGAGACCAGCAGAAAAGGATCTGATCAAGAAGACAAACTCTGAAAAATGTGCATACAAGATCATAATAGATATAAAACAGACTATTATCTAGTGCAACAAACACACCACAAAAAGCATTTGAGGGTCTTACTTTGGGATTTGATATGTGCCATTATACCGTACGTGGCTGGGTACACAGTATGCCATTTAAAAAAAAAAAAAAAAAAGCAGAATTCAGATCAAAATGCATACTGAGTGTACCGCTAGTAACTGGTAACTCAGAGTGAGGCTTAAGCAACTAAACAGTCTGCATAGCCAAAAAGTGTGGCACTCCGACTAAAGTATGTATTTAACAAAGTACACGACTGTATGGTTTAAATCAGCCCGAATACATAAAGCATTTACCCAGAAGACTAATACGGCTCTATAAAGTATGGGGAAAGGCTCTATAAACTGCTGCCAAAGCCCCCCAGATAGATAATATTTGCTTTTTAACCTTCCACAAACAAAGAAAAAACCTTAACGGGGAAATTCTGCTCCAGTGACACACTTACAAGCCCACAGTAGCACCATTGATGCCTGCGTTCCTTTGGACAGATGGCAGAAAGCTTGTGCGGGATCAGGCAAGAAATTTGGGGAGGAGGGACGGGGTCCCAGATGGCTTTGGATGGGCAGCCCGGTCAATAGGACAATTACAAAACCTGCAGCGTGTCATACTCACTCCCCTCTCCTCCAGTGTCTGAAATGTAGCTTTGCAGTTCTCCATCAGACAGTTATGCCTGTCATTTGTGTTACAAAAAAGGGTGCTCGCACCAAAAGGGTCTTCAACTGGCACAGCATTTTAGGGCGCTTGCTTGTGCTGGTGCTAGGGATGTGTTTTGAATGGTTTATAATGGTTAGTAAGTGTATAGTGCATTCTTTTGTCTAGGGGAAGTGCGGTGCTGGAAAGGAGAGGAACACACTGACGTGATCTGATGCTTGTTCAACAGGTGGTACCTTGCCCTAATCCACCCTTCCTCGCGGGCTCCCTGTGAGTGCCCAAATCCCTTATGCCCCAAGAAGCCCACTCATGGCAGGGGCGCTCCTCTCCCAGGAACGTGCCCCTCGGAGCAAGCCCGACTCTATCCCGAAAGCGAATGCGAGTCCCTCTGAGCCTAGAGAGAGGCAAGGATTTCTTAGGGTGATCTCTTTTATCGAATCAGTGATGTAGTCAGGATAAAGTCAGACAAGCTTTCGAGTCTTCCACCGACCTCATCAAGCCAGACAAGCTTTTGAAGGTAAGACGGTCGTCCTCTTGTCCGAGGGATCGGCGTGAAGTCATAATAGACAGTAGTGCCCCGGGCTGAGGAAGAACGTCTTGCCTTCGAAAGCTCGTCTAATTTTATCCTAACCCCGAAGCCGGTCGTTTAAAAGAGATCGCCCAACAAAATCCTCACCTCGCACATCATTTCCGGACCCTCGTGGCTACATCGCTCTTGTGCTACGGTCCAGACACCCAGGGCAGGGGCTGCGGTCGACGCTTCGCTTCAGGGGAATCGCCAGCTCTTTCCCCTAGGACAGAGGTTCCCAAACTTTTTCTTAGTGTGTACCCCCTTCCAGATTTGCCAGCTGCCCCCGGAGCCCTACCAGCGCACCTTTCACAAATGCCACCGATGATTATAATCCACCATTGCACCACTCCCCCCACCCGCCCGTGTCTCGCCTACGCCGCAGGGGTGCCACGCTAGGTCGTTTCAGGCCTCCGCCTCTAGGCATCGCGTCCCCAGGGACCCTGCCCTGCTCTGCGCTCCCTCACCCCTGCCTCCACCTCCCACCAGCATTTCTTGCACAAACTGGGAGGCAACAGGGCGGCACCCTTGGGCGCCCGCGTGGGGGCGAGGGGCAGGGCGACCCCAGCCCGGGGCAAAGCCCCGCTGCCTCCCGCGACTCACCCCGGTGATGACGGCGGCGTCCCCGGCCCCGAGCCGCAGCAGCGGGACGAGCACGAGGGCGAGGAGGAGGCTCCGCATCGCGCCGGCCGGGCCCGAGGGCTGCGGGAGCCGGGAGCGGGG